TCTCTCCTGATTTTCCTTCCTCCAGGCCCAATCCTTTTCCATCTCCTTTGCTGGTTTCCCTCCTTAGCTTGATCTCTAACGTTGGAGACTAAGGGCTCTGTCTAGGCTTTCTATCAACAGTCTCTTCTTATGTGCCCACATCCTACAGCTTCTAATAGCATCTCCAGGCCAAGGAACTCACAAATCTGATCTTCAGCCAGGGCAAGACCCTCACCTCTAGACTTAAATTCAACTGCTTGTTGGTCACGTTTACCCTGGCATTTCACACTTTACGTGCTATGTCAGTGGCACCACCTATCCAACTGCTCAAACTAAAAGTCTAGAAGTTATCCTACCAAATCCAATCAATAAACAAGTGCTATCATTGTCACCTCTAAAACATACTCTGAATGTGTCCACTTCCATATATTTCCACTTCTGCCACCCTAAGCCAAGCCACCACCATCCTTTACCTTTATGACTGCAATAGCCTTCTATCTTAGATGTAGCAAATTGTCTCTCTGAAGCACCATTTTATTCATGAACTGGAGATGTTATAAACCTAAAAACATGTCCCAGACACCCTAACATGTAGAGTCCTGGGTTAGAATCAGCTACTGCCAGTTAAAAGCACTAGCACAATATTTGTAAAGAGAAGGAAGACAGAGGCTATCTTCCTATTGGTACTGCTGTTGGTAAGCGAGGTCACAGAGTACCAGTGCTTGGAGGAAGTTGTAAGGGTTAATTTGGTATTCCAGTATCTGGCCAGCTTTGTGGATATGAGGCACAGTGTCAGTGATGGCAGGATTCCTGAGCTCTGGATTCAACTACTGTGGGAGTCCTTCAGCTCCGTAGCCCAGCAGTAGCCCCCCACTACTACTACTCTAGTCCTTCCCATCAATTTTGTAAATGTCTCGCTCTTTCTTTAAAATCCCTCTCTGAATAAAATACCTAAAGCGGTTTCTGCCTTGGCATTCAACCCTGATGTATCTAACTGGTTTTCCTGCATCCACCCTTGCCCACCTATAATCCATTCTCCATCCAACAGAGAATTCCCTGAAAAATGTAAATCACATCACGCCATCTTCCATTTAAAATTCTCCAGTGGCTTCCCACCACACCTAGAAAACAACCCAAACTCCTTACCGTGGTACCAAGCCCTAACGATCTGGCTCTGCCCACTTCTCTGATGGCATCCAGCCACTAGCCTTCTCTCAGTTCCTGGAATAGGCCAAGCTTTGCCCTAGATCTTTACTACATGCTGTTCCATCTTCATGGAATGCTCTTCCTTCTAGTTTCTCAAATATCTATTCTTTCATGTTTAGATTAGATGTCACCTTCTTTAGCATCCCCTTTGTAAAAAGCCACTCTACCCTAGTTTCTCTGCAGAGCACTGACTGGTGTCTGATTTTCTGTGTCTGTTTATTATTGACTGCTCCCTCCAAAAATGGATGTACCATGAGAGTAGGGAGAGACTTTGTCCCCTTATAGCATACAGTAGATGCTTAATAAATATTTGCATGAATAACTTAGGTAAAATCTGCAAGCAGAGTGAATTTTACGTCTGTTAGAGTTACTCCAATGTTTCAACAAAAATTACAAATTATTCTTAAATATTAAGTTGAGGATAACAGCAGTTTACCATCTAGGCTTGGGTGCTGGGAATTACAAATTCTTTTGGCATACATTACATTCAACTTTGTACTCCAATGGGTTTTCTTTTAAACCCCAAAACAAGTCCATTTTAACACTGCAGCTGGAAAAACCAGCTATCCAAAAATCACTGATTTTTTTAAAAATGTGACTTAGGGAACAAGGGGGGAAGAGAAATATTAGTGGGTAGATTTCATTCAGGATTACTGCCAGTTTTTCAAAACTACTCTGACTTTTGCAATATCATGCTATGGTTTTTTGTTTGTTTGTTTTGGCTGCATTGGGTCTTTGTTGTCGCTTGCGGGCTTTCTCTAGTTGCAGCGAGTGGGGCTACTCTTCGTTGCGGTGCGTGGACTTCTCACTGCGGTGGCGTCTCTTGTTGTGGAGCACGGGCTCTAGGCATGCAGGCTTCGGTAGTAGTGGCATGGGGGCTCAGTAGTTGTGGCGCACGGGCTTAGTTGCACATCCGCAGCATGTGGGATCTTCCTGGACCAGGGCTCAAACCCGTGTCCCCTGCATTGGCAGGAAGATTCTTAACCACCGCACCACCAGGGAAGCCCCATGTTATGGTTTTTAAGAATAAATATACTCATTTTCCTCTCTTAATGCTACCTCCTAGCTCCCGTCTGCTGTGTCTGGGGAGGCCTCACACTTTCTAGTCTCTAGAGAAACGGCACCATCTGCTGGGCAAAGCCTGCTGTGCACCTGTCTTGGTGAAAAACACTGGGCTCTCAACTTCTTGTGCCACCATGAACTAACTGGACACCAGTTAGGCTTAGCAAATAAAGCCTGCCTTGCAGAAGGCCAGACAGAAAGCCCTGCTACCAACAGAAGTGCTGATAAGATTAGAGACGCCTGGCTTCCCTGGTGGCGCAGTGGTTGAGAGTCCGTCTGCCGATGTAGGGGACGCGGGTTCGTGCCCCGGTCTGGGAAGATCCCACATGCCGCGGAGCGGCTGGGCCCATGAGCCATGGCCGCTGAGCCTGCGCGTCCGGAGCCTGTGCTCCGCAACGGGAGAGGCCACAACAGTGAGAGGCCCGCATACC